CTCCTCGCACCCTTCCCCATCCCTCCTCGTCCCCTCTCTCCCTCCTGTTTGCCCTCGGGACCCGCCGAGCTGCCAGACCCGTCCTCTGGGCCCTTTAGAAGCCCCAAACCCACCCGTGGGCCCCGGGGAATTTCACTGAGCTCACTCAGACACCCACCGCCTCTTTCACCTTGTACTTTACACCGGGCTGCTGGGCGTCCCCTCGGGATGGGGGAGGGAGGCCTCGATCAGAGAGTTGCATGGAAAATGTTTTGGCTTGGTTTTTTTTTTTTCTTTTTGTCATCTTTGAAATAAGTTGGTTTTGAGAAGGATGATGTTTTTTCTGTTTGTAGAACTTATACACAACACAGCGTTTCTTCTTTGAATGCAGGTGATTCACCAAATGACCAAAAAAGCCCTGAAGAGGGGCTTGAGAAGAAAAAAGAGAGGAAGTCTGAAGCCTTGAACATCAGAGGTACAGCACGGGAGTATACTGCTAATATGATACTAACTTTAAACACTTTCTGGTTTCCATTTCAGATTATTTTTTTTTTTTCCAAATATCAGTAAGAAATGAAGCAAAAGCCCAGGACTCCTCTGAGGGTACGGACTCTGTTATCTTTAGCAGAAAGGTTTTGGTTGTATGAAATAGCGTAGATAATAAGAAAATAGTGTGATGCTGATTTGGCTCCGAGTGTGTTTACATTTTGATCTTAATTCTTTAGAATAGTGCAGCTGAACTTTTTGGAAAGGAGACAAAGCCTCTTACAGCAAGCTCAAGTCACTAGAGGCCTTATAGGAAGGTAAAGCAGGTATCTATGAGGCGCTTCTTTGAGTGTCACTGCTGTAGTAGTTGAGCAGTTTTCAACTTTAAAATGCTTTTGGGCAGAAAACAGAATTTCTTTAAATCCCGAGGTTAACAGTGTTTTGTAGTCAGCACGAGGAAAAAGGTGCTGAAACTGGTCCTTCAGCACAGTGTTTTTCCAGGTCCTTGAACTGTGTACCTGTCCCTGAGAGAGTCTGTGAGAGTATCAGCCCTTCTTATGTTGTAATTCGGCAGGTCTCTGGGTATCTGCGGAGTGGAACTGTGTAGCTACTTCTAGGAATAAATTAACCAAATGTCTTTGTCCCTCTCTGTATAGGTGTTTATATGCATACACGTTTACATACCTATTCTGAGCAGAGCCAAAAGCAAGTATCTTTGAGTATACTGAACATGGAGTTTGTCCCTTAACATATTTATGTTAAGGTTTTCATTACCTTAGGGTAAAGGGCTGTCAGAAGGCTGAAACAGGATGGTAGTTTCAGGCTTCTTACGGTCACCTGTTAGCATCTGATATTCTTCCAAAGTCATGTAAGTTGGTGTCACATGAATTCAGCTTAAAGAGGTCGACGTGGCAGTCGGGCACCCGGGGTTCTTTTTTGGTGTGTGTGTCTACGACCTGTCTTTCACAAGTGTTTTCAGAGTTACAGAAATGTGTCTGTAAGGGAAGACACTTTGGAAATCAAACCATGTGCTAGAGCCACAACGCTTTCCTGAATGTCTAGAAATTGGTGTCACTGGATATTATGGCATTATAGTGGTAAGATTATTGGAGCAGGAAAAGCAAACCGTCACTTTCAGGCATGGAGGAGAGAAGGATAAGAAACCGATGAGTATATTTTAGAGAGGGCCTTATTTACCTGAACGAATCACTTTCAGGCATGGAGGAGAGAAGTATAAGAAACCGATGAGTATGTTTTAGAGAGGGCCTTATTTACCTGAACGACAGTGCTTAGGGATAGTGATGCTGGAAACTTTCAAAAATGTCTGAAGGATAAGGAGTTTTATATTGCTTATTTTAAGATACCTGTCATCTTTGATTTTTAAAAAGAGACTTTTTCTCTAAGTGCTACTTTAACTTTAGTATGTCATCTTTGCAAAATCTATTTTTATTGTCCTTACAAATATTCCTTGCTTCTTTAGCCAGTGTTAGAGATACGTGTCTTTAAAATTCTGATTCAAAATCTATGTTTTTTCTTTGGCAAAAAATTCTGTACATTATGGAATCAGAGCCTGCCTGAAAAACATGGCTGGACAAAATGGATTGGCAGAGGAATTGGTTCCTTGATTTTTAAAAGTGGAACGGGAGTCCAGACATTCTGCCTGACTGGGTTAATTATTGTAGTGTAAAATTATTCCTTTTACTTCTTGAGCATATGCAGAGTAGTTCAGACTTTCCAACACAAGCTGTTGGAAACTATGTGTTACCTATGGTCTTACCATACTGACTTTATTTACTAAAAATTCATTTCTGGTTCTATTTTATAACCATAGCTTTTGGGGGTCTATAGGGAAATGGGTTCATTTCTGTATAGGCCCTCATTATGTGATGCGTAACCAAGATGTACATATTAACAATGTTAGTAATGTAAAATAAGCATTTTCCAAATTCCATATTCTCAATTCATAATTTATCATAATTCTGGCATGCTTACTTTTTTCTCTTAATTCAAAAGAAGACTTTCTGAAACAATTTTCCTGTTCTTTTTAAGCTGTACTCTCTAGTTAGTTGCCTTGGCAATTGCATCCTGCCTGTCCCTCTTGTTCGTGCAATAGCTGATAGCCCGTGCTGAATCGAGATTATTTGTGAATGAAAAGAAAACACTGCCACACTGTTAGGAGGAGTAAAGCCCTGTGGGAGTCTGCCAAATGGGGCAGAACACGCCTGACTCCAGCAGAAAGAGCTGCACTGGCTGGAAGTTTGTCCTTTCTTATCTGACCCAAGTGATTTAGAAGAACACCAGTGCTTATTGCCTTCATTTCTCACAGAGAAGATCAATGTTCATGCAAAGAGCTGGCAAGAAACAGCAGCACAGGCAAGGCTCTAGGTCTAATCCAGTGTCCAGCATCACCAAAGAGTCAAAACTCTTCGCTGTGTTGTTAATGAGTTTCAGAGGGAGCCTTTTACGGCTTCTCCAGGCCAGAGGAAGTGATTAAATTGGAGTGAAGCTCTTGAAAGTGCTTGTCATAGGGATGTGAAAAGGAGATGGTCCATCTTATTCTCTCACAGGCTCTGAATAAAAAGTATTGGCAAAGAAATTAACTTAGTATATTTAGAGATGTTATGAATTAGGCATGGTTTGGAATGAAATTTGAGTCTGAACAGTGAAGACTGACAAAACTGAGCAATGATGGGAAGAGGGAAGATTATGTAAAGTAGTGGAAAAAAAAGGATGAAAAAAGCAGTTCTTAGATTATTGTAACTTTATAGCAAGAAGACTACTTTAGTCATTGTAGTTGAAAGGGCAGCTAAAAATGTGTTATTACAAGAGCCTGTTTTGTGTCTTTACCTTTTGTGCAAAAACATATTTATAGAAGTAAAAAGTGGTACCCAGCGTTCCTCTCAATTTAGAGTAGTCCAGGCACATGTTAAACTGTGGTGTTCATGTGACTAATTCTCAAACCAGATTCTGATTTTTTTGGGGGGTCTGAGGGCTGGTATTGTTGGTGGGACAAGGTTTAATATGACTAGTAATCAAGCTTGATCCAAAAATTGAAGTTTGAGGGCATTTGGAGCCATAGGAATGGGCTTAGGTTTCACTTAGGTAATTTTTCAGATTTCAACAGTGTTATAGGAGCTGATGGAGGAGAATAACTGTTACTGGGGGTGGTCTGTGGCTCTCCTAGCTTCCAGGGTAGAACAGATAGATTTAGTCATCAATTTTTAGTTGAGAATTGAGATCTAATGTGCCAGGACCTCTTAATAATCTGCAGGCATTTAAGCAAATACATTTTACGTTGCCATGGCATTGCAGTTGGACCGCAGTTGCTAGCATACCCTACATGTTTAATAATGCATCCCACTTAAGCAGCTGTGGTTCAGAGTCAGTATTTCCCTTGCTGTTTTGTTCTAAAAGCTGTTATTGAAAACTTTGGTTATGATGTTAGTGCTTGGAATATTGCGTTTTCCACGTCAAGTAGAACAGACTTGAAAAGTGCGGCTTTGCTCTCCTCCCCCCTCCAAAAAAAACCCCCACTAATGGAAATTGTGCCATTTGTTTCAGGTGTTCTCTTGCATGTTATGGGAGATGCACTTGGGTCTGTGGTCGTGGTAGTTGCTGCTACAATCTTCCATGTACTTCCTCTGGGGAATGCTCCATGTAATTGGCAGTGCTACGTTGATCCAAGCCTGACAATAATTATGGTGTTCATCATCTTGTCTTCTGCATTCCCGCTTATCAAGGAGACCTCAATTATTTTGTTGCAGATGGTTCCCAAAGGTGTTAATATGCAACTACTGAGTAAGTCAGATTTGTTGTTGAAGTGCTATTAATTTTAATGATATATTTCAATGCATATGTTATTTCTGGAATGACATGTTTGGATTATTTACTCATAATAGCTCTAAATTCTCAAGAACCGTGAGAAACAGTCACATGCCTGTGTCCTAGCAACATGACTCAAATCTCTCTGGATTAGTTAAAGCATGCATTTTGAGAATGTGGTACTCCAACAATACATCAAAAATACCAGGTCTTGAGCTGTTAATGCTTTGTGTGGGGTGTTTGTGAAAGAAACAACACTGAATTACAGTTTTCCCAACCCTGCAGCGGCTTCTTCCAAAAGGCTTCCGAAAGAGCTTAGAAGTTTCCATTTACGTTGGTTAATTTTGTAGCTCTCTGGCGTTGTTCACACTGGCTCATTGTGGGGTAGCACTGGTTATTTCTGGAATTCCACCATGCTCAGGGCTAAAGAAACCAGAAGATGTGGGGTCTTCACCAAGGAAGTGGTGCTCTAATGTTGCTTCTATGAATGGCTGGTAAATTGCCATTAGGGAGCCTGGGGGACAGAGTGAGCCCCAAAGGAAGGGTGGCCTGTTCGTGTGGTCATCTGCAGGCTGAACCGAAGGCAGCTGGGAGTAGACACATTTTACTATGTACAGCTCTTTTAAAAAGATAGTTCGGAGACTGCTGCTTTTGGATAGGGCTCTTAATGGGAAAGCTAGTAATTAGCCAGTACGCCAAAGCCTCTAATATCTTTCTCTTATGTCTTCCAGCTGACAGACTAGCTCGTGTACCAGGGGTTAGCAGCCTTCATGAGGTGCATGTTTGGGAACTTGCAGGTGGGAAGAATATTGCTACTCTTCATATCAAGTGCCAAACCCCTACTGATTACCAAGATGCTGCTTATAAAATACGGAAGATTTTCCACGAAGCGGGGATCCATTCTGTGACCATCCAGCCCGAGTACATTGACTGCAAGACCTCCCAGCTACTGTGCAGCTCGCCCTGCATCTCAAAAGCTTGTGACTCTCAGCTGTGCTGCAGCCAGCGGGAGCCCCCCCTGGCTAAAACTAATGGCCATACTGAGAAAAACGATAGTTGCCTTTCTGCACTGCGTAAGGACAATGGTTCAAGTAAAAATGATATTGAAATCCCTATGGAATACCCACTGGCAGAGGATAGCATTAAAAACGTGAAAAATTGCGGTGCCTCTGATGACAAATCGCAGTTAAGCAGTACACGACTTTAGGCCGTTCCCTCCACTCTGCGTAATGTTTTCATAGAACAAACGTATCCTGGCCGGCGAGGGGGTCATCGGCGGTTGTAGCTGAAGTTGGTGTGGCAAAAAGATTTCTGTGCTTTAGCTGTAAACCAAAACGCACCTAAAAACCCCTTGTATCTGAAATAAGGATTAATATTTCCACGAAGGGTGTTGCATTCATCTAAGATTTTTCTGATACAGCCTAACCCAGTTCCTTACCAAACTGCGTGGGAATTTCTCTTGTTAGGGCGGACGGGGCGTGTTGCTGTCCGCACTGATGCTTGCAGTTAACGGCCAGTGGCACTGGGAATGAAACTCTGGCCTTTCCTAGCTGTTTCCTGAAAGCCTGGTGGCCAGTTCGTGATTGTACTGGGCTGAAGTACTGTATATTTATAAAGGACTTCAGTAGGGATGCTTTACTGATCCTTAAAACCCGTTTTTGCGTAGACAGTTCATGTTTAACAGTGACGCTTGTGCTTCTGGCCGGTGGGGTTTGTGAGTGGGATTAAGAGTGTCTAAGGCGGAGGGGAAGCACTCAGGGATTTTGACTTGCATTGTTTCCTTGATTGACTCCTGTATTTAGGGACAGAGCAGAAGCTGGTCTTGCTTCTCTACTAGTAATACTGGAGTCTTAGCCTAATCACAGATAATTATGCTAAAGACTTCTTGTCGTGAAAGCAAAGAAATACTTACTAACGTTGTCTGTACTGGTTCTAGCAAATGGAAATGCAGGCAGTTATCCAGTTAACTTTTATCGTGTTCACTTCTGTGATTGTACAACTCTCTTTTTTTTTTTTTTCCTTCTGACAACAGAAATTATAATAGCCACGGTCTTAATTCATCATTTTGCAGGATGATTGCAGTATCTTTAACACTGAATGTCTGTCATTATTCATGCTGAATAAATAAGCTAATGTGCTTATTATGAACAGTTAAAATTCCACAGTTCTATTTTTAAGACACAATTTAATATTGTATTAATTAAGAAAGTCCCTTTAAAGTTTTATATGCAGTGTTATCACTTAGAGGAAGCTTTAAAAACACTTACAGAGGGAATTTCTCCTTGTTTAGTCTTGATTATTTCTTGCTGATCTATTTTAAAGGTGTAATCTCTCCCCTCCGCCCTGCCCTTCCTCCCCCTGCCCAAAGGTGTATTTCAAAGTGTATTTAGTGAAGCAGTTCCTTTATCTTTCTGCTGCTTGCCTTTTTTTAAGGCATGCAAGCGTGCTCTAAGGAAAACAAGATGACGTGCCCTGCACCAGTGCTGGATTTAGGTCAGGTCTGTTCTCCAGGTTTCTTGGAGAGAAGACCCACTACCTAATCCACACTGGGTGTAGTGCTTAGCCTCACCGGCTATACAGACCAGATCCAGAAGCTTTCAAATGCCTTTTGCTGTCAAAAGCAGCCTTTCAATGGTCTGTGTGGCCTGGTCTTCTGTCATTCAGAAAATGAATTTTATTCATTTATTTATGGGGACGCCTCTATAAAATTGTGGTGTCTTTACCTCAGAGACACCTTAACAGAAAGGGAAAATTGATTTCCTGCCTGGGCTAGGAAAATACCAGGACCTCCTTGTAAGGCTGGCTAGAAAGCAGCCAACTCCTTATTAATAAGGACAATTACATTAAGTCAAGGAATATTAAAACACACAGCAGGCTATTTTGCTGCTTGGAAAATGCTATTTACTGAAGCAGTGATTGCAGTCTAAATAGCACATTTCTAGATTTGTAGTCACCCCTTTTGAACAGATTCTTGGGTGAATTAATATATTTCATAGCCTTCCATCGTAGGCTTATATTATATAAATTAAGCTATGTGTTAGTGTAATTAAAAGCTTGATCCTCCGGTCTGTCTGATTCTGTTGGCAGCAGCAGAGGTGAAAGCAGCAGGATCTTGCTTGGCAGCTATTGCACGAATTAATGTAAATCAGGGAACATTTTAAGAATTGCTTTGTCTTCTAAAAGCATGTGGCATAAAGTAAGACAGCCCTTTCTTCTGTTCTTTTTGTCCTTATTTTCTTCTATGATGATGTTTAAATGTCAGGGTTTAGATGTAAATAACAAATGTATTTATAGGTTTTTGGAGAACTGGAATAGAAAGCTCCCAAAATAACAACAAAATCTATGGGAGAACTTGCTTCCCAGATATCCTCTAAAACATGCACCCTTTCATAATTATGCATTTGTGTCTTGAATCAGGTAATCTTTTTATACATACCTTTTATTAAATGGTTGAAAGATGGAATGGCAGTATTGTTTACTCTGGAATTAGAGAAAACCAGTATGTGTAACGTTGAGGCGTTTGACAAAATAGACCATCTTTTTCTTTATCCTTCCAGTGTTTGTTAAAACTGTGATTATCTATTTTTTAAGTTTTTAGAAGTGTTGTAACCTGAAAATACAATGAAGTAACATTCTTAAACATTTTTCTTGTCTGGTTGAGTGTACTGTAATTGTTGCCTGTGAATAAATAGGAAAATACCAGGGATTATAGAAATCTTCAGGTCTAGAAAACAAGCAGATTTAAAATTTGCTTTATTACTTAAGGAAGCAAAACCAACAGAGCTATTTCATATATGAGGTGAACCTTGTTTTTTCTGTGTAGGGACGTCCAGGGTATCCAGCTAAGGTTTCTGACCCAATATCCTTGTTTTCCTTTGGGTCCTGGAAGAAAATATTTTTCTTCTCTGTTTTAGGCGTGTCACAGCTAGGCTCTACTGGGTGGCCCCTCTCTACTTCTGCAGAAGACTTCATTCCAATCAGTGTGTATTTTGTACTGGCTTATTTCCCTTCAGTTCTTGGCATATATCTTCTAATTCTCTTGAAGTAAGCTTACCTCATTTTGAAATATAGTATATTTCAGTATTTGCCCTTATCTATGGGCACTTGTTCTAAATTCAGTTTTGTAGCGTATTGCACTGTTGAAAAATCTCTTTTCTGGCCTCTTTACTGAGGGTGGGAAAAGCAATTAAGCTAATGTAAAATTTCTGACGATTGCAGGTTGATTGTGCTACCCTGTCCTCTTCTATCGCTCTCTTCTGATTGCACCATTATGGCATTCCGTTTCTCTTGCAGTGGTTGCCCCTATCTGCCCATCACTGTCTGTAGCAAAGGAAATCTGCTTAAAACACAGGTGATTTTCAACCAGCTGTCCAGCTTGTGTGGCCCTCTGATCCATAACCAGTCATACATGTGACCTAGATGTATGACAACGAAACGTTTGCTAGCCTTGGCAGATAATTCTGGAACAAGAGTGAAATCTGGAATAAATTAACGTAGCATTGAATGCAAAAGCAATTTACTGGCCTTCATCAGTCGTGGGCCTTTTCTTAAAGTCCATTCAATTTTTTTGTCACCTTTTCATATGTTATCCTTTAACCAAACATATCGATTTGATAGTTAATTTTTCCTTCTTCTGTAACTCTCTAAATGCAGGTCTTGCCTTTGCTGTTCTATGTAAAGAAAAATAACTGATGCTATTTTTAGGAGTGTTGCCTTTGTTTTGCCAAATTTTCCGTCGACTTCCTTCTTGTGTTCTTCGCGATACGTATTTTGACTTGTAGTGCAACTGTGTTTTTTTCCTCTTAATGTTTTTCTTATTCTTTTGTCTCTTCAATAAAAGCAGTATGGTTTTGCTAGCCTTCTGGTCATGGTGATGGACCTATAATACAGTTTAGAAATACCTCTTTTTTTGCACTCCCTTTAATTCAAATTCACTCGCTTTCTGGATTTGCTATGTGATACTCTACCATTGCAAACCACTTTTTGATCTTGTTTAGTTCTTCCTATTCTTTCCCCCCACCTCTACCCAATTATAACACTTACTGTCCTGAATGCTCCCTTTTATTCTGAACTTTGAAGGGGATATGCTGGCATCCAAATTTTCCCCGCAGTGCAGTTCACCACCCAAGGTCTATGGATGGCTACTGCAAGGACTATTTTATGTCCTGTGATCTCTGTCAAAGTGTTGTCTAAGCAGTCATCCTGAGATATATATATATATTTATGTGTATTTAAATCCTTTATAAACACTCCACCTGAACCAACTTACTAAAGAATTAAAAAATACATCTTCTCTAAGCCTGAGAAGGTATAATGAAATCACTAGCGTTCATTAGTCATTCATTAATACCTTAGGAGAAAGCTTGGATCGCTAATTGGAAAGCAGATAAAAGGGACATTTCCGAAAAGATAATCCAAACACTATGAAGATTTCTATAGGTTCTACTACTTACTCTGCTGTACAGTGGAAGCACTTTCTATGTTAAATACTTTATTTGAACAGTGACACCTTGATATGAGGATGTCACTGTATAAAGTTGTTACATTTATGGAGTTGTGTTGCTTAAAAGTTTCCTCCAGTTTTTCTGTTCATTTTGTGATTTAAATAATGTGCCAAAGTGTAATTTCCATGATTGCTGAATCAATGAATGGAAAATCTCACTGTGGTTTTATTAACTATTAGTGAAAAATTACTTAAAGTTTTATGTACAGTTAAATTTTTTTCAAAATGAAGTTTGAATGTCTTGTAAATAAAGTGTATTTTTAAATAAACCCCTTGTTCTGAGCTTGGTGTATATTAGCAATGGGGAGCTTGTGTGAGTTTGGATAATGTTAAGACCTTTGTATGAGTAAAGTTTGCTCTTAACCTGTGAGCTTGTTAATGTCAGGATTAAAACTGCACACTCCAAATCTTTTTCTTCTTGTCCTATAGCGGTGTTTTTCAACATTTATTAATTGTCTCTTTGAAAATAAATCCCAGGATCACTTGGGCAGCATTGCTGTGATGGTTTTCATGTACAACCAAAACCAGTTAGGTTATAACTGTAATGCTTACCATCAGCTCTCCAGAGAAGTCACTAGAGCAGCCCTGCAGGTTTGTGGCTGAACTTGTCTCTGCTGAAGTGTGGCCAAAGTTTAACACCTTTAAAGCGTGGTCCCTTGCTGTGATGGGTTTATTTTCTTCTTTCACTGGGGTTGCTGAAATGC